GATGGATTTAGAAATTTGGCAACATTAGAACCTATTGATAAATTTGGCAATTTGGCAACTTGGAATCTATTGATGGATTTGGCAATTTGACAACATTGGAATCTATCGATAAATTTGGCAAATTGGCAAACTTGGCAACTATATATAAATTTGGCAATTTGGCAAGCTCGGAAACTATTGATGGATTTGGCAATTTAGCAATTTTAAGAAGTATCGATAAATTTGGCGATTTGGCTACCTTGGCAAATATTGATTGTTTTGGCACTTTGGAAACCTTAGGAACTATCAATAAATTTGGCAAATTGATGGAGCAGGGCAATTTGCAACTATCGATCAATTTGGCAATTTTGCAACTTGAAAATTATTGATGTTTTTTGCAATTTGGCAACCTTAGGAAAATTATTGATGGATTTGGCAACTTTGGGACCTATCGATAAATTTGGCAACTTGGCATCCTTGGAACTATTGATGGATTTGGCAATTTGGCTACCTTGGCAACTATCGATAAATTTGGCAATTTGGCTACCTTGGCAACTATCGATAAATTTGGCAATTTGGTAACCTTGGACGGATCGACAAATTTGGAAATTTGGCAGCCTTGGAAACTATTGATAGATTAGGGAATTTGGACCTATCGATAAATTTGGCAAACTTGGAAATTATTGATGGGTTTGGCAAATTGGCAACCTTGGGACCTAACGATAAATTTGGCAATTTGGCAACCTTGTAAACTATTGGTAGATTTGGCAATTTCGCAGCCTTGGGATCTATCGAGAAATTTGGCAACCTCAGGAAACTATTTATGGACTTGGCAATTTGGCAACCTTGGAAATTATTGATAGATTTGGCAATTTGGCAACATTGGCAACCATCGATAAATTTGGCAATTTCACAACCTTGGAACCTATTGATGGATTTGGCAATTTGGCAAGTTTGGGACCTAACTATAAATTTGGCACTTTGGCAACCTTGTAAACAATTGATGGATTTGGGAATTTGGTAACCTCGGTACCTATTGATGAATTTGGCAATTTGTCAACTTTCAAACTACTAATGGTTTTGACAATTTTGCAACGTTGGAATCTGTCGATGAATTTGGCAACCTACGAAACTATTGATGGATTTGGGAATTTGGCAACCTTGGAAATTATCGATTGATTTGGCAATCTGGCGATATTGTGAACTACGGATGGAAAGAAAATATATGAACATCTGTCAGAATTAATTATTTTTTCAAACGGATGTTAGCATTTGGTCTATTTTTAACGATTTTTTGAAGAGTGTGGAAAATCGAAATATATTTTAGTGCTAGTTTACACGAACTATGAAAACATATCGAGTAGATATGAGCAATTCTGCATTTACATAGGCTATATATTCTGCGTGAATAATCGAGGCTTTTCTATCGATACAATTAACTCAATTGCTGCATGGTGAGTCGTAAATAATTTCCATTTTGGGAAACCAATTGTAATGATGAATACCTTTTCCTCTTCCTAATTTTTAGTAATCGCACGTCGCAGTTAAAAAGAAATTTGCAGTACACTTTAGTATACTTTAGTTTTTGAACATTTATAAAGTGAAGAATGGATTTCTTAATTCCAATAATGCTAATAATGTTCCATCCATAGAATTGTCATCAGGCACTTTCCAACGGTGTCACAAACTAAGATCTTTTTCCCAGGCCGATAACATCATGAACAAATTGGTCATGGTACGGTTTGAACCCGGACCTCATGGTCAGAAACAAAATGTATCCACCGTTTGGCCGTGTACTTAATTAAAGAGGAAGGCAACTGCATATTTTATTTTATTTTCAAAGTAAAGAAAATTTTAATGGCAATGACATTTTTTTATTTGATTTAAGATGCAATTTATAAGTTTGTTGCTTCTGCTATATATTTAGAGATTCTTGATAAAATGCAAAGAAGAATCTGCAATGTTATAGGTCCTGACCTGGCATCCCGGCTTCAGCCTCTTTCTCACCGACATAACGTAGATTCCCTTTGCCTTTTCTATTAATACTTTCATGGCAATTGTTCTGATGAACGTTCCTCTTTGGTACCTGGGCGTTATGAATTTAAGCACAATACTAGATTGGCGGAGAGGTCTCATCGATTTACCGTTGAAATGTCTTGATATATTACAGTTTTTTTGTCGCTTGTGGATGTTTCTTCCATCTTCTTGCTTCCTAGTCAACTTTGATCTTCAAACATTTAAATGTCAATTTCAATCGTTATCTTTTCTCTTGTTATTTCCTTTTCTTTTATTGTTCTCCCACCCAAATAATGTTTTCTTTCCTCATATTATCGCACACTCAGTAACCCAATGCGTCTTAGTGGTTTTATTGCTTTGCTTTGGGTGAAATGATTAAAAAAAAACCAATTAACTACAAGCAGTTTCTTTCATACCATATTTTTCAGTTTAAAACGTGCACTTGATGAAAAGGAAATAATTCTGTTTATGTTTCAAATTTGTATCGTTTGTCAAAGTTGAAAATAAGAGAGAAAGTTGTTATTACCCAGACATTTAGTTATGGGAGAGTGGTTAGCACAACGTAAATCGACTAGACTACCTGTATATATTTACTTTTCTAAATAACTGGGTGGTTTGACGACAGTTCTTGCATGATACACATGTCAATCAAATTTGAGTTCACGGGCCTAATTATATTTAAAAAAGATGCCAAAAAAAAATGAAAGAAATATTAGAAAAGATGTCGAAGCGTGAGCACAAACCTTTATTAATCCAATATACTTAACAAGATTCAAATAAAAAAAAATGTCCATATGTTAGTAGGGCCATTAAAATAATCTAAATAGCGTGACAAACAGTTTTTTTTTAAAAAAAAAAAACGTTGAATTAAAGAGCGGAGCATTCCACATAAGCAAAACATTAATGTCTTTCGTGTGGAACTTTTATGGCGGTCCATGTTTGATTCCTGTTTTTGGTTAGTAATATATATATATATATATATATGTAATTCATCGAGTCTAGAAGAAACCTCTACATAATGCACTGGACGGCCGTTTCGTCCATGATTTGGGTTTTATCAGCAGTGTGTATCCACTACCAAGAATTGAAACCCGGACAATTACGTTATCAGGCAAATGTCATACCAACTGTTACTATATATATATATATATATATATATATATATATATATATATATATATATATATATATATATATATATATATATATATATATATATATATATATATTAATAAAAAAGGCTTAAACACTAATATTCCATGGTCATAATTTATTCCATTGGAATCGTAAATACGATCCAAATCATCAGACCTACAAATTAAAAAAAATGAAAACAGAAAGAACAACTCCGGAAATCAAAACAGAATTTAGAGAAAGTGTAAGTATGAGGAGGAGGGAGATTTTTTTCTGAAAATATACATGTATGGGTATTTTTTTATATATATTTTGCATATGTATGTATATTTTCCACTAATATTATCTCTCTCTCTCTCTCTCTCTCTCTCTCTCTCTCTCTCTCTCTCTCTCTATATATATATATATATATATATATATATATATCATAACAACAAAGTGAGACATTTATACAGATATCGAAAGATTTTTTTTATCAGAATTGTTTGGGTTGTACTAGTTCGGTTTAGATGTATGAAAGTTCTTGTAATGTGGTTGTTAAATGTTTTTGATTTTGGTGATTACCTCACTTGCAAATGATTTATTTATTCACCAACACGGTGAATAAATAAGTCAATTGCAATTGAGGTATTATTAAACATGAGGAAGTGATATTTGTGTAAAATAAATATTTGTGGTCTTCATTCCAGGAGCAGCTCAAGTCCACTTGCTCTCTTGCCGATAGTTAAATGAAAAAAAGAGAATAACACAAAACCTCTCGCCAATATGGCGGTTTCTTTTTTTTTTTTTTTTTTTTACTAGGGAATCATGGGAAATTAATTTTTTTTTATTTCTCGTGATCGCGAGATTATTACAGAAGCATATCTCTGATAAATGTTCTTTGTTGTGCTTAAACATGATATTTTCTTGTTTAATGACATTAATTTTGAAGTGTTTCAACTCATTGTCAGTGTTTCCGAAAATTATTGAATATATCACAGCTTTTGATTTGAGGTAAAATCTAAAGCGCGGACCTAGCTTCAATGGTCTTTCTCTTTCAGGAATTTACAGCAGAGAATTCTACAGGAAAATAATGATGATGGTGGTGGATAGTTCTATTTGTTCACTGAATTCAACCATATTTCGGAACTTGTTTCGAAACGATTAAAAGGAATTGGTAAAGGAGAGTTTGAAGCAGGTATCGGCAGAGAAATGGTTACACAAAGCATTTAGATGACAGCATACTCTGGTTTTACTTGAGTGAGTGTTTATCCATGGACGAATGTTTAATGAAAAGAAGTCGCTTGGAAACACGCTGGAAAGTGGGAGGCGAAACAAGAGAAGACTGAAGGGAAAGTAAAAAGCGGGAAGGGAAAAAATGTGGGAGCGAGAGAAACAGAGAGAGAGAGAGACAGTGAGTGAGAAAGAAATAGGGAGATGGAGGGAGATAGAAAGAGATAGGGGAGAGGGAGTGAGAGAGAAAGATAGAAGGAAAGAGCGAGAAAGAAAAAGTAAGGAAGAGTGTGAGAAAGAAAGAGAGAGGGTGAGAGAGAAAGAGATGGATAGATAAAGTGAAAGAGAGTGAAAGAGAGAAAGAGAGTGAGAGAGAGTGAAATAGAAAGAGACAGTGTGTGAGAAAAAGAGTAAGGGAGAGAGAGTGAAGAGAAAGAGATAAGGCGAGAGAGAAGGATAGATAGATAGAGAGAAAGAGAGTGTAAGAGAGAGAGAGAGAGAGCGAGAGATATTAGAAAACGATGATGATGATGATGATGACTAAGTCTGTCGAGGAAGAAAAGAAAGAGAAACAAAACTGATGGACGTGTCAGCGGATTGGTTAGTGCGAGAGGCGTTGGGTACGCAGGGGGTCTGGTGGGGTCTGAAATCCTCACTGAATGGGAGCACTCATGGCTTATTGGACGATCTCCAAGTTTGAGAGACGAGACTCTGTCAACAGTGTGCGGAAGTTCACTCTAACCCTTTCCTCTCTACCCACGACTAGCGTCTCATTTTTCTCACTCCCGCCCACTTGTGAATCTTCGATTAGCGGTCGATCATTGATTGTAGGGCCTGTTATGTACAAATTGAGTACGAATCTCTCTCTCTTTCTCCCCACTACATCTCTCTCCCTATATATATATATATATATATATATATATATATATATATATATATATGTGTGTGTGTGTGTGTGTGTGTGTGTGTGTGTACGTGGAGAATTTTTTAGAGGAAGAGTCTGTATTTGTTAAAAGTATATCTAAAAGTAAAACTGTCTTTATATATTTGAAATCGATGCTTTTAAAAACCCGGTTATATTTATTACTCTAAACGTTATTTTTAGTTGACACTGCATTTCTATCGCTATTGTTTATTATTCTTAAACACAGAACTTAATGACAATCGATTGAGAGAGAAAAGTCCTACTAAAGAAAAATTGTGCCTCTCGATAGGAATCGAACCTGTTTCACCTTTTTCCATAAGTCAAAACACTCTTATAATCTTATATGCGTTGTTACCAGTTTGGTCATGAGTGATAACAAAGCAAGCTTCAAATTATTCATTTAAGAAAGGCAAATTTTCATTTAGTAGACTTCAAGATGTTATTCATTTCACTGTTGAAGGAAAGCAAAAAAGATGAATATCAACTTAAATTCCTGTACCCACTAAAAATAACACACACATACATATATTTTAAGTCATTTTTATGTTTATACATTCTTTTTATAGATACAAATATTTAAATAAATTCTGTTTATAATAAACAGTATTAATAACATTTACCGGCCTGAATGTCCGAAAAATTTTCATACAAAATATTCGTCCTCCGACAGGAACCGAACATGTATCCTATACGGAACTGTCATATAGCCTGACGTGCTCTTAACCGATTGGGCCACAGAGGATCATTCAGTTAGCAAGGTTGATTTTACTGCTTTTAAACTACAATATTCGATGAATCTCTCATAAAATCGACCTTGCTAACCGAATGCTCCTCTGTGGCCCAATCGGTTAAGGCACGTCAGGCTATATGACGGTTCCGTATAGAATACAGGTTCGATTCCTGTCGGAGGACGCATATTTTCTATGAAAATTTCTCGGTGAATGTTATTAATACTGTTTATTATAAACAGAGCATTTACTTAAATATTTGTATCTATAAAAAGAATGTATAAAATGTCTTAAAATAATTGTAGGACATTGTTCATTTCATAATATATATATATATATATATATATATATATATATATATATATATATACACACCTAGTGAGCCAGACAAACCTACCTAGGTTTCACCTAAACGGATCGTCAGGGAAAGTTTGGCCAAACTTTCCCTGACGATCCGTTTAGGTGAAACCTAGGTAGGTTTGTCTGGCTCACTAGGTGTATCTAGGTCTGCTCTACGGTTGTATTGAGCTCTTTTGTTAGTTAGTTGTTACTCGTATCGGGGTTTTTTTCTTTGGGCTTCAGACCTGCATCTGTGCGATTTTTTTGTCGGCAGAAGTCCATGTTTGTAGCTCTTTCTTTTTTTAAAACCTTTTTTTCCCTCGAGATTGATTTGATTAGCAAATCAAAAATTCGAGGGTTTTTCGAAACGAGTCTAGTTATCTATATTTATATGTATATATATATTATCCCTCACCGGTAGCACGACTCGGAGGAGTTTCATGCACAACACAATCTTCACTTCAGGTGCTGAGTAGATTTAAATTGATAAATTTAAAGTTGTGAATACTAATTTTATATTAAGCATAAAGGGAAAGTACTGCAGTTTTAACTCCCTCCGCCCGCCGCCAAGAAAGACAGTAAAATAAAGCGAAAAAAAATTTACAGAGAAATGTCATAATTTATATTAAAAATTAATGTGGATCAAAGCATTTTAACAGATATTTATTTTTAGGTCTACATGAAACCATCAATTCATTTCTCTTGTTTAATAAGCTAGGCTTATTTAAGTGTTTTAAGATAACTAATTTTTTTTTTACACGCGCACGTTCATGAATTTTTGCTTCTGTTCACGTGTTCGTTTGTTTTTTCTCTTCTGACTCATGCAAATAATGGACTACATCTTAATTCCTGGTCACAGACGAGGAGAATTGTCCCTCCTTTCTTAATTTTCGTCTAAGATACAACGTGAATAAAATTATATGGTTGCCAGCCATTTTTTCATGCATCTCTTTGAATTTTACATCCAATTTTATTCATCTATTCCTTTTTTTGTACAAGTTCTTTTTTTTTCAAAAATTATAATTTTTTTTCTTTTTTAATTGAAGTGAATTTAGTTCCTCCCCCGCTTTCTGAAATTTTTGAATATTAGTTCTTTGAATTTTTTTTTTCTGGCTCCTGCAAATATTGGCCATTATTTTTATTCCTGGCTCAAAGATGTTGAGTGTTCGTCTTCCAGAAGAAGTGCATGTTGGCACTTAAACTAAGTTGAAACTTTAAATTTTAGTTTCAACCCTATGTGCCACGCACGGTTTTCATGGACTTCTTGTACGTTGCTTGTTTGTCTTTTTTGTTTTTCTTTATTTTTTTATTTTGTGTGTGTGTGCAATAGGAGCCGATAGGCTTTTCTATCGCCTGTTTCATACTCTTCCACCTCTATCTTGGACAGGAGCAGAGGCTTTTCCCTTGTTTCCTCTTTAGGAAGGGCTTCTCGGATCCTTTCCTTTTCTTTGGCCTCCGCAGTAAATGTACATTCGTGAATCTCTTGTGATTTGTGGCAATGTCTCCTCATACAGAGGGTACTGGGTTGACAGTTTTCTGGAATGTGGTTTTTTAATCACCCCGTTAAAAATGTGCTTCTGAGGTCCGATCCTGAGTAAAAGCTGGCTTTCATCCCTGCAAGAAAGCATGAAGTTAAATCACACTCATCTCCTTGGTTCTCAGCTGCTTGCTCAGCTGCTATTTCACATAGGAATCACTTTTTTCCGTTTGTAACAAAACGACATGTCTGGTTACAACAAACGTCTCTTTGTCTCTGCAAGCAATGAGTGTAAGCGTGTCCCCAATGAATCAAAATTACTATTTGCTGAAAGAATGAAACAACGTATTCCATCTCACAAGTTTGGTTTTAAAGATTATTGGCGGTTCTGCAAGAGCGTGCTAAACAAAAGCAAATCCACAATACTTCCTCTATTCAATCAGTTTGCGGTCCTGACTTCCTAAGCTGAAAAAGGCTGAATTCTTTGCTCGGAAATTCTCATCCAATTCAACGCCCGACTCATCCGGAGTATTCACAGCTGATTTCCCCCCTGGAATTGAGGCTGTATTGAGTGAGATGGCATTGGACATCATCTCTAAATTAGACTCTCATAAAGCAAGTGGTGGTGACAGGATACCAGCCATAGTCCTAAAGAAATAGGCTCCTGAGTTGGCCCCAGTTCTCTCCAAACTATATAACTATTGCCTCACTGACTCTTGCTTTCCAGCCTGTTGGAAGTCATCATCTGTTATCCCTGTTTTTAAGAACTCTGGAAACCCTTCTGACCCATCTAACTACTATCCTATCAGTCTCCTACCACTCTTCAGCAAAGTCTTCAAGGCTTTAATCAATGCCAAATTGGTTAAACACCTTACCTCCTATGATCTACTCTATGACAAACAATATGGTTTCCACTTTGCCTGTTCTACTGCTGACGTGCTTACGGCCATAACTGAATCGGTATACCAAGCTCTTGATAATAATGGTGAAGCTGAAGCTGTGGCTCTAGATATCTCTAAGGCATTTGATAGGGTTTGGCATGCTGGCCTTTTTCGTAAGCTTCAGGGATACGGATTATTTGACTTAATACAATCCTTCCTGTCAAAACGTGAAATGAAGGTCGTCCTTAACGGGTTCTCCTCCAATTACTTTCATGCGAACGCTGGTGTTCCGTGAGACTCTATCCTGGTTTCTACACTGTTTCTGATCTTCATCAACGATCTTCCTGATGTCATCAGTTCCAAAGTAGGCATCTACGCAGACGACATTTACCCTAACCCTAACCCTAACCCTAACCCTGTCTCAATAGTAAATCCGGCATTGCTGGCAAAGTTAACCTGGCCCTCTGGTCTCGAAAATGGCCTCCAATCTGTGGCTGACTGGGACAGAAGATGGCTTCTACATACCACCAAACCGAAACTGCTCTCATTTTACCACCATAGAGAAACGTCCCTGTCACCTATCAGTACGGTTGATGTTGAACTCCACGAGAGCTCCTCACTGCGAAATCTTGGTCTCACGTTTTCCACTGACCTGAGGTGGAACAACAATATTGAATCAATGGCTACATCTACCACAAGGAAAGTTGGTTTTCTGTGTCACACCAGAAGGTTTTTTTTTTTCTGAGTCCAACCTTCCATTTGTCAAATTTATATATATATATATATATATATATATATATATATAATTACAACATTTTATAATAATGTATATATATATATATATATATATATATATATAACTTTTTAGAATAATCTATCTATCTATCTATCTATCTATCATATATATATATATATATATATTACGCGCTAGCGATCTTCCCACTAGGCCCATCCTTTCATAGGAATTAACGTATTCAATCTTTTTAGCTCTCTCTACGTAATGTAGGCATTGATCACTTTACTTAGTAGTTTAGGTTTTTGACTTTTTGTCATATTTTTTTTCTTCTTTTTCTTATTGCTGTCATTCTTCGAGATTTTGTCTTGTTTTAAGGCGGTTTACGTCTTTTGGCAAGTTGTCAGTTGATTCCACCAACGCTTCTCGTCTTTCGTTTATATATATATATATATATATATATATATATATATATATATATATATATATATATATATATATATATAACTTAACATATTGATTTCTTTTAGAATTTCCATCTTCAAGCGAATATTTGAATTCCAAAATTGGCTTGAAGATGAAACAGAACTAACGCTTTTAATTTAATTATATAATTAAATTTGAAGTTTTTAGTTTTTTTTTGAAACATGGTTATTACTGTGTAGCGAACAACCATATTTTCAATCAGTTAATTTATAATATTTATGCTCTGTAAATTTACACTGAGCATAAAAATAAAAAAAAATATCAATAAGAACACCGGATTTTATATCTTACTGTTCTTTCTTTACATATATATATATATATATATATATATATATATATATATATATATATATATATATATGCAGCTAGTGAGAGAGAGAGAGTGAGAGTGATGGAGGAGAGTTATAACCTTTATAAACCTTTTTTCTTTATATCTCTGAAAATTTAGTAACATTAATTATTAAGGGAGCTTCATCATCATCTCGAAAAGAATTAATGCCATTAAAATTGTAGAGTCTCTTCGATTAATTCAAGAAAACGTCATCCATACGACTAATTATAATGGAGATTGAATCACTGGCCATCACTCGATCGGAGGCACTTGACAACTTTCAGAATGGCGGCCTTGGAATTTTAAATTTTATTTTTTTTTAAAATTAATATAATATTGATTTCTTTGCGGCTTCCATGTTCCGTGAATGTCAGCTGCAGAATAAACCCGGGCCACGCCATTAAGTAAACAGAAATAACCATCATGCAACAGCCACTTCCTGTTTGACTTTTAACCAGTCGGATTGGGTTTTTCGTTAGGCTTTTCTATGACTTCATACGAGGTAAGACAAAAGTAAATTGTCAGTCTAATTTACTTTAGACAACACCTCAAAGATGTTCTAAAAAAGAAGATATAAATCAATTCTTATATCCAGTCACCTTAGAAGACTTTCTTGGTGCTATTAAATAAGAAGAAATACAATTGACAACGACACATTTCATTTTTTTCCAAGAAATCAAATCATTTAGGAAAATCATCCGACGCCAAGAGATATTCAGGAATGTGACTGTTCTTTATTTAATCTTATCTTTCTTTTTCTCTTTCATAAAACCTCAAATGATATAGTGGCATGATTTCCCCATATACACCCAACAATTACAGGATCCCATCAACAGATGAATTCCTCCATATCTTAAAAGGAACAAATCCCATAGTTAGGATACTATCTTCGCTCAATGTTGAAAATCTTTTTACCAACATCCCTGTTCAAGAAACAATCAACATAATTAGTGACTTCATCTAGAAACACCTGTCAATCTCTACTCTTAAAATCTGATCAGGAACTCTTCCAGAAACTATTACTCATCTGTTCCACAAAAGCCCCATGAGCACAATAGCAACACCTACATTGAAATTAATGAAATAAGCATGGGAAACCCATTAGATCCTTTTTATTTCTCTAACTTTTACATGTCTCATATTGAAAACATATTGTTTGAAACAACTAACAAACTAGACATCTACACAAAGTACATTGATGACATTTTCGCTTTGTTATATTTTTCAGGACGAGATTTGAAAAAACGCAACGCTTAAATTTACATACGAAGTCATGGTTAATAACAAAATCCTATTCCTTGATGTCTACATAGAAGTATTTACCACATAATCGTATACAAACCCACCTTATCTTCTAAACTATGGTGGCCAATGCCCGGAAAGATATATATATATATATATATATATATATATATATATATATATATATATATATATATGTGTGTGTGTGTGTGTGTAAAAATATATAGAAAATAGGAAAGAACTCGTTAGGTAAATAATCCAAAATTCTATGGTAACATAGTAATTTTAATTTCAATAATGAATATGCATATAAAACGCGTAAATTTCAGGAATAAGTTATTCCCCAAAAAATTTCGCTTGTTCCAGAGCTTAGTACTTTAATTCAATTTAATTGAAATAATTATATTGAAGTTTTCGGCTCTTGTCTTGAAACATGAGAACTCTTATGTAGCGTTGGAATCATATTTTTAAATAAATAATTATATATATATATATATATATATATATATATATATATATATATATATATATATATAAAAGGTGATAAAAAAAACTTCCTGAATAGAGCACACTTAAATTCTTCTTTCCAGAGAATATTTCTGAGAGACCTAAAACACATAAGACAAACATCGATCAACAATAATTTTCCCAAATACATCATCGATAAACATAAAATTATTCTTACAAAAAATACATGACACCAGTAATAAAAATACCATAGGCAGAACATAAGTATATTTTAATGCAATTAGATGCCCAATAATTATAAATAGGAAGAATTCGCCAGACGAAGAATCATTAAACACCATATTTCTGCCATAATTCGCGGAAAACAAGTAAAACTTATATTACAAAAAATGGAAAACTGCAAACCTTGTGGTCACGAATCAAAATAACCCCATGAAATCTAAGCTAGCGATGACCAATATAGTGTAAAAATTCACTGCCCATTACAGGAGTGTGTTTCTTGTCAAAAATCAATTACCTATATCGAACATAATACTACCTCCTTGAGTAGACGCCTCAGATGTTACTTATCTGATCAAAGTTCTACAAAAAGCAATTTACAAGAACTGTTATATAAGTTCACATTACCAGAAAACATCTCGCAAAGACAGTCCCTGTAAAATTCTATATCAACCTCACATTAACAATGGAAACATCTCGCTATAAGACATAATCGTCCCTAGTTTTATTAAACAACTCTCCCCAACTAAATCAACCTCACCTTATATAACAATGGAAAAATGGTGTTAATTATATTTTCCTTGTTGAAATATTTAAAAAAAGATTTTTTAAAAGAAAGATTTGAATTATATATATATCATATATATATAATATATTTCATATATAGGATAATCGACTATATGAACCTTACCTAGTTTTATTGAAAAATTTAATTCAACTCAAAAATATTCAAATATCTTGCCATATTTATTACAACGTTTCGGACGTTATACGCTCCGGCCTTCTTCAGGTGGTTGGAATGTGGAACTGAACCGTTTATTTCGCTCGCTTGGATAGACTGTTCTAGTTTCACGTGCCATGTCTAATGGATGTCAGTTATCAGTTATCTCCTGTTAATTCCCCTCTCCAAGTTCTCCACCGCCTTAACCAAGTATTGAACTCGCAACTCTGTGGGTCCTGTAACCAACGCCGTTATCCACTGTGCCATGCTTCCTTAAGGACATCTGTGTATGATTTTCTGGGGCTACTAATCTTAATGTCTTCAGTAGCAATTAATGGTTAATTTTTGAGATATTTGGAATTTATAAAAATGGACTGATTGAAGTTAATATGCAGATGAATGTAATCTTAGCGTTAGACCTCTGAAATCTAATAAAACTATTTTTCTTTTTGTCTATATGTTGAAACATGGTTAAACGTAAGGATTTAAGAAATACTGAAAATCAGAAAATAACAAAGTTATTGAGTGATGGAATGTCCTCATTGGAGATATCAAAAGAGCTTTGCAGAGATCATTAAATGATAAAGAAAGCTGTTGAAAATATAAGAAAGTTCAGAACTCGAAACAAAGAAAATGGATTTAAGAACTTGCTTCCTCAAGATGAACCTAAACGAGATATAGCGAAACAAGCACTTTTGACAAGAAGCGCTCAGATCTTTGAAAAAGCTGAAATTGAGGGTGTCAAGAAGGACAAAAAGTGTAGGATACTTTATGAATTGAAAAACAGAAAATAACAAAGACATTGAGTGATGGAATGTCCACAATGGAAATATCAAAGGAACTTTGCAGAAATCATCGAGCGATAAAGATGGTTGCTATAATGATCGAATGTTAAAGAATGTTATAATGATCGAATGATAAAGACTGTTATAATGATCGAATGATAAAGAAGGCTTTTATAATGATCGAATGATAAAGAACGCTGTTATAATCATCGAATGATAAAGAAGGCTTTTCTAATGATCGAATGATAAAGAACGCTGTTATAATCATCAAATGATAAAGAAATCTGTTGAAAATATAATTAAGTTCAAAACTCAAAGCAAAGAAAAAGGCTTCAAAAACTTGATTCCTGGAGATGAACGTAAACTGAAGAGAGTTATAGCGAAACAAGCACTTTTGATCAGCGCTCAGATCTTTGAAAAGGCTGGAATTGAGGGTCCTAAGAAGGACAAAATGTGTGGAATATTTTGGAAATTGGGATCTGTAAAAAAACCCTACGTAAATTACTGTCACTAAGGCAAATATTTTAATGCTTCGAAATTGGCCTACGAAATACATGGTAATTGACTTTTTGAAAGTAATTTTAACAGATGAATCCCGATTGACATTTGATAGAGCTGATGGCCCTATTCAGACGTAGGTATAGGTTGGAATTGTCGGTATTATTGGACCATTCAAAGTCGATAAAAGAAGTTAAACTGAATAGTGCTAACTATTGCGATTTTATGAAAAAGATTTTCTTTGCATTGTACAAGTCCCAGTCTTGCAGTTTCAAAGTGGCAATGCTCCTTCTCATGTATCTATTCTTACTCGTGAATTCTTTGAGCATAAAAGATTTACAGAAGAAAAGATAATGGAATGGCCAGCATCAAGTCCTGATCTGAATCCGATCGAAAATCTATGGTCAATTGTGAAGATGAAATTATATGAAGGTGGCAAAAAATATAACAGCAAAACAGACCAATAGAAAGCAATTAAAACTAACATGTCGGAAATTGAACCTGACGAAATAAAAGAAATTAACAAAACCAATGGATAATAGATTATTGGCTGATATTGGGAAGAAATGTCACTATATTAAAATGTAAAGGATTCAAAAACTTATGTTATTTGTTCTATTATAGGTGTTGATCAAGTTTTGATGATTTTATTACCTTTTTATTGCAGTAAAATATGATTATTTGGTTTTGCCTAATAACTTCTTGACAGCAGTTTTTTTAGAATTCTACAAGTAATTTCAATAACTTTGCTTTAACGCCTAAATTGATTGTTTAAAATCTGAGATTTTTTTTCAAAGCAAATTTGAATTATTGAAGTTTATATGATTAGCTTAATTACTTCAGACAGGGTCTGTCTGCCTGTCTGTCTATCTCTGTTCGTATCTATCTATCTATTCCCCTTTATTCATATCTATGTATCTATCTCATTTATTACATATCTATCTTTCTTTCTATCTATCTCAATCTGTTCATATCTATCTATCTATGTTTTGTGATGTCAACGAACACTCGTAGACACTTTTGTAATGCCAACAAATACTCGTTGTCACTTCCGTAATGGTCGTTGTAGTAGAGACTTTGTAATCGCAGATATAAATATCGTACGCTATTGAGCAATGTTGGTGTCAGATGCTTTCGAATAGCACTCGCACTAATAGTACTTGCTCGATAATACTCGCTCGAATATTAATCACCGTATAGTGATCCGAATAGAGAAATAGTATAGTAAAATAGAGTAGAGAATAGCCGTATAATAATAGAGGATAGATGGCGACCATTTAGAGGTCACGCTTCTTTCTTCCTATGCATTTCCTCTATGGTCATGTGATCCACTTAATTCAATAATGGGATCGCTTGTGTTTGCTCACTGGCAATCTATGTTCAAACTGAAGTGTCAGCAGCGACACCTTATTCCTATATAACAATATTTCAGTCTGTTCATATGTATCTAGATATTTGTTTATCTGTTCATATCTATTTTCGTCTGTTTATATCTATCTATCTATCTATCTATCTATCTATCTATCTATCTATCTATCTCAGTCTGTTTCTATCTATCTATCTATCTATCTATCTATCTATCTATCTATCTATCTTTGAGTGTATCTAATTTTGTATACATTTCACTCTGCTGGTATCTATTGATATTCTGTATAAACATTCTAAAATATATTTCCTCCACCTGCCCATAGAATTATATAGCAAAAAAGTAACTAAAACAAACACACACACACACATATATATATATATGAAAATGTTATCGAAATATTCTTTTTATGTCTATTCATGCATCTAAGTTTTCTAACGACTTTTTCTTAACCCAGATATAGATTTCTCATTTTCGTATCGATTTTAATTCTAAATGTTTTATTCTCTTTTGTGATCCTTTCAGTCTTCCTCTCTTCAGATAACAATCGCCCGTGCTTACATCATGCGCCATTGTTTTTTTTACAGTTTGCACCGACTGCAGACGCCGAGCAAGGCGATTTGTCAGAAAGATAATGACGCCAACGCGAGTGGCACATGTGATATCTACCAGTTCAGTAAATACACATCCACCCAGCACGAAGAATCGAGCTTTTTTATAATATATATATATATATATATATATATATATATATATATATATATATATATGTGTGTGTGTGTGTGTGTATACGGTGCAGATGATCGCTATCAGGTTGAGTTACAATTGTAAAATTAGCTTTGTTATTTTTTAAATATACATATAGATCATTAATTTAATAAGTTGAAATTAATTTATTTTATCTTCGGAAAAACAGGAGAGGAGGAAAATACCTAAAGAAAATCGTGTTCTGTCAGTTTGTTAGACTTCTTAATTTATCTATCTATCTATCTATCTATCTATCTATCTATCTATCTATCTATCTATCTCAGTCATTTTCTTATCTATCTATCTATCTATGAATGATCGCCATTCCTAGTTTTTCCTCTATTAATATTCGGATCGCTATTTCTATTCTATCCTCTATTACTATACGGCTATTCTCTACTCTACTATGGACACGTTGTCTCTCTTAGAAATCAGAACGCCATAAGTTATACCAACGTTCGTTTAACAAGTCGAATGCACGTGGTTAGCCAATGAACATCAAACAACACCAAAGTAAAAATATAAGAATTTCATTCTTCTTTTTCTCTATATGTCATGCTCTGATGAAGCTTTAATAACAGGGAAACATGTTAAATTGATAAAAGTTTCCTATTTGTTCTTTATCTTATCATTCTGTTGGATTCCTATCCATATTTGGCCTTGATCTATCTATCTATCTATCTATCTATCTATCTATCTATCTATCTATCTACCATTTCATTCTGTTCATATCTATCTATCTATCTATCTATCTATCTATCTATCTATCTATCTATCTATCTGAATCTGTTCATGTCTGTCTGTCTATCTATCTATCTGTTCATGTCTGTCTGTCTATCTATCTATCTATCTATCTGAATCTGTTCATATCTATCTATCTGAATCTGTTCATGTCTGTCTGTCTATCTATCTATCTATCTATCTGAATCTGTTCATGTCTGTCTATCTATCTATCTATCTATCTATCTGAATCTGTTCATGTCTGTCTGTCTATCTATCTATCTGTTCATGTCTGTCTATCTATCTATCTATCTATCTATCTATCTATCTATCTATCTATCTGAATCTGTTCATGTCTGTCTGTCTATCTATCTATCTGTTCATGTCTGTCTATCTATCTATCTATCTATCTATCTGAATCTGTTCATGTCTGTCTGTCTATCTATCTATCTGAATCTGTTCATGTCTGTCTGTCTATCTATCTATCTATCTATCTATCTATCTGAATCTGTTCATGTCTGTCTGTCTATCTATCTATCTGTTCATGTCTGTCTGTCTGTCTGTCTATCTATCTATCTATCTATCTGAATCTGTTCATGTCTGTCTGTCTATCTATCTATCTGTTCATGTCTGTCTGTCTGTCTGTCTATCTATCTATCTATCTATCTGAATCTGTTCATATCTATCTATCTGAATCTGTTCATGTCTGGCTGTCTATCTATCTATCTGAATCTGTTCATGTCTGTCTGTCTATCTATCTATCTATCTATCTATCTATCTATCTGAATCTGTTCATGTCTGTCTATCTATCTATCTATCTATCTATCTATCTATCTATCTATCTGAATCTGTTCATGTCTGTCTGTCTATCTATCTATCTGTTCATGTCTGTCTATCTATCTATCTATCTATCTATCTATCTATCTATCTATCTATCTGAATCTGTTCATGTCTGTCTGTCTATCTATCTATCTATCTATCTATCTATCTATCTGAATCTGTTCATGTCTGTCTGTCTATCTATCTATCTGTTCATGTCTGTCTGTCTGTCTGTCTATCTATCTATCTATCTATCTGAATCTGTTCATGTCTGTCTGTCTATCTATCTATCTGTTCATGTCTGTCTGTCTGTCTGTCTGTCTATCTATCTATCTATCTATCTGAATCTGTTCATGTATGTCTGTCTATCTATCTATCTATCTATCTATCTGAATCTGTTCATGTCTGTCTGTCTATCTATCTATCTGTTCATGTCTGTCTGTCTGTCTGTCTATCTATCTATCTATCTATCTGAATCTGTTCATGTCTGTCTGTCTATCTATCTATCTGAATCTGTTCATGTCTGTCTGTCTATCTATCTATCTGAATCTGTTCATGTCTGTCTGTCTATCTATCTATCTGTTCATGTCTGTCTGTCTGTCTGTCTATCTATCTATCTATCTATCTGAATCTGTTCATGTCTGTCTGTCTATCTATCTATCTGAATCTGTTCATGTCTGTCTGTCTGTCTATCTATCAATATGCCAGTCTATTAATCTGTCTATCAGTCTTTTTTTCTCTCTCCTTCTATCTCAAATATTCCAAGGCAAAACAGACGTCTGTTTGATAATTTGGGGTTGAAGAAAGAATGTCCCCGCTCCTTTTTGATGTTTAGTTGACTTCACTTACTAAATCCCAAAGCCACTTTATTAACATGACTTTTATGGTAGTCTAATAATCTGCGATGACTCATAGAGGAATGAGATACAAGTTCGATTCTTGTCCGAGGCTATTACAAATTCAACGCCGTCGACTACTACAAAAAAAAAAAAAAAAAAGAAAAAAAAGACCTTAACCTGAAAAGACGTGTCATGTTCATCAACATCCCAATTAGATCGAGACTTTCATATTAATTGTCATGGCGTCCAAACCGTTAAGAAATATGTAAACTGTATTCTCTGATCAATGTTGTATAGGTCTTTGCGAGGACAATCCTTGTTGTCTGTTGTTATAACATCACAAAGAATTATATAAAATAACAGAAACCACATCACTTGAAGACTTTCAACAACAGTAATAACTAAAATGGATATCACATGGAAATCGACGAGGAAATAATGACATAATAATTTTTATTTATTTTACTAATATTCGCCCAACACTGTTGTAACGTAGAAAAGGTTACTAAATGGGGGATAATCAAAACGGAGGTTGGAATTGAAATGGTAATCTTTATAACATCAACAAAATACAATACTCGCCAGCGGCGTGAAGTAGGTAAACCACTGCGAGTGGTGAACTACATAGACAGCATAGTACACCCCCCTTACAATAGTGTCAAACGTATTTATGAGGATTGAGGCATACCCATTAGTGTTCATAGGTACTGTATATAACAAATACCCAAGAGCCACATAAGGTCGAGTGATACTTTGTGAAGTTGTATTAGCGTAAAAAAAAAGGACTAGCGTTAGGCGTATAGAGCCGAAGCAGACTTTAGAAGGAACCGTAAACCTGATCCTAAACCATAAACAAAAGATAAATCTCTTGACTAAATAAAAACCAGGGAGGAGTGTGAACCTGACAATAGGCGAATCTATCTACGCCTATTTAAGATAACGTTCTACACTATTTCAAACAAAAGTTCAGGAAGGAAGCCTACTACCCCACATTAGTAGAAGAAAGATTGATTGAACAGCTATTTTCTCGAAAAAAAAGTTTTAATCGAAATCATACTTATTATAAAACCCAGGTTGAGTGTGTGTGTGTGTGTGTGTGTGTGTGTGTGTGTGTGTGTGTCTGTACGTTTATATATTGGATCGGATTTCCCTACATTTTCAACCGATTTCAACAAAACTTCACAGGACTACGTAAAATTACCTTGCGGTGGTTCTGACAGCGCCAAAATTGGAAAAACACAATTGTTTTTGCACGAAATCAATTTGAAAACACGATTAAGAGGCATCGCGAGAATTAAAGGGGGACAACTCATATCGAGTTATACTTATTATAAAACCCATGTTGTTTGTGTGTGTGTGTGTTCGTTTATATATGGGATCGGATTTCCTACATTTTTTTAACCGATTTCAACAAAACTTCACTTTTTTTTGGCAGGTAGTGTTTCTTATTGTCTTACACACTTTTTTCTTTATTTTTACATTCAGAATGCTTTAAAAATTCCATTTACAAGACAATTGTTTATAATAAAATTCTATTCAATCGGTAGACTCATAACGATTGAAAACAATGTTTTTGTTTGAGTTTGACTAATTCGTAAAAAAAAACAAAACTAATTAAGACATGCGTGTCCGTCAACCTTAAACAATAATCTTTGTCAACTTTATTTTTCAGTCTTTATGATGGTCGATACTTGATCTATCTCTTACTGTTACATCTCCGGGCAACGCCGGGCTTTACTGCTAGTATTTTATAAATTTCAGACGACAGTAAAACTGGCTGCTCGGTCAATTACCACCTTAATATTTCCATATAAGAAAACGGCTAATATAATAATTAGCATTAGCCTAAGTAATCAGCTATAAAGCACTGATACAGAAATTATGAACATAGAGGCTGTGAAATAGTATGTGTTAGTGTTGTGTCTTATTTGTGCATTATTCAAATCCTTATTGTCACTGAAATGGGATACATATGTGTGCGTCATATGTGTGTGCGTGATACGTGGGTTGAAAAGAAGGCGAGGTATTCATTCGTGCGTAGCGTATCTTTGGCAAATAGACCTGGCCTTGGCCATCCTTTTCTACGCCAAACTACAACTAATACGCTCCACACTTGGTGACTCGTCTTGTTTACGTAGCCATTAATACCATCGTGGGAAACGGTCCAATCTGGCCATTGACGTCAATAAAAGAAGACCTTCACCAAGAGACACCGTGTTATTACTGCACTGGCTATATTCATAGCTATGGAGCCTAGTCTGCATCTAGATGGCTGTTGACCCTTTAACAGCTTTTGTTTTTAAACCTGCTTGGTGATTATCCAGCCTCATCGCTAAAAAAGCCTGGTGGAGGGTTTGGTTTAGTTGCCGTCCGCCCTAAGATTTACCATCAGCCCGAAAAGTAGATTAAGCAAAAAGGGCTGTGATTTTAAAGATAATTTATTCGGTAATTGATTAATTACATTATTGTTATTATGATTATAATTATTAAAGCACTTCCGGAAGTAACAGCCCCCCCACCGCGTCTGGCCTGAAGTGTGCAAGGAAATAAGTTTTGAAAAAGTCAGGCAACTTTCAGTTTTTGTCCGCTTCTTCGAAATCCAGAGGGTAGGCATCTATCTATCTATCTATCTATCTATCTATCTATCTATCTATCTATCTATCTCCCCCCCTCTCTCTCCACACACACACACATATATATATCAGTTTCAAATTCGATATCTTTATGAAGGAAGAATGCTCAGTATTGGAGATCGAGCATTTATAGTTATAAACATTTGTGGTCATTGGAATTAGGTTTGAAGATCATATTAGATCAATAGAATCATACTCAAAGTCAACATTATTATCTAAACTTATTGTTTGTAATTGTTTAATCAATACAAAGGAAAATAAAGATCGTTATTGATTTGGAGACGAATAAATAAATTCGCAGAGAAGCATGAAGCATGGCATTTCGGAAATATTTCCCAGCGAAATAACAGTAAAGATTAATTCAATTAAAGACAAAATCTTTGTTCAGCGGCAAAGGGGGAACTCACCCGCGAAGAAGTTGATGTATAAAAGAAAAAAGAATAAAGGTTCTACCAAGTAATTAGTGAAGTATGAAAAGATGGACGCGTCATGATTATTGAAACACCTGGATTATTTCTTGAAACATTAATCTATTAGGATAAGTCATAAATAAAATCCGTTTTTAGTAGCCAATTGTCAGGTGGGATATTTCAGAGTCTAACACCTAATCATTGGTAGCAGTTAATTTGGAGTAAAATTAATAGAATTTAGTGACAGTGGCAGCAAGAAAATGGTGTTTACTTCCATGACTTGCGTGTTATGCAGCAAGAATAACACGCGGGAAAAAAGTCCTGCAACTTGGCTGCTCTTTTTTTTTTCCTTCGTCATATTCATCTGACATCGGATGAACCGATTATTACGTTTGGTCGATCACTGCAAAACGTTTTCATAGGGAAAACTTTCTTTGATGAAAACCAGATTCAAGGGTCTGTCGAAAAGTTTTTGTTTTTACATGAAAACCTGCGGCATTTTATGTAAATGATATCGAAGAGCCGTTTGGTAAGTGATAAAGTTTTGTTTTTTAACCATCTCCCTCTCCAGACAAAGCAAAAATGCTACTAGTACGTTACTAGAATGTTACTCAGGCGATTACAGGGAGTGAAAGTGAAAGAGAAGACTGAGAATAGATGGAGGATTGAGGAAATGACAAAAGATGAACGGAATTCAAGAAAACAGAAGATGGTGATTGACATTGCATTTATTTTTTTTTTTAAGATTGTAGTTACAAAAGAAGCTAGAGAACGGAAGTGAGTTACATAAGCGAAACGTGCGAGAAAAGCTGTTGGAGTAGAAGTGGCGGTTGTCTTTAGTTATTTCAACAATAAAAGGGTGGGACCTAGATGCCAATCTAGTAGCACTCTTAAATCCATGTAGTCAGAACAGCAGAACATAAAGCTCGTCAGAGCTGTTGCCATGAAAATATTTGTAGAAAAGACAGAGGGAAGCCACGTCTCGTCGGTGGGAAAGTGAGTGCAATCAAGATGCCTGGCCAGATTACATTACACATCTTTCTGTGATTCGTTGCAAATAATGGTGAATATATAATTGATTAAAATGTAATTATACTTTTTTTTATAAAGAATCGTGTTGATAAAAAACAGAAATTATTTATGACTCATCGTAATTACTTTGGCTGTACGGTGTGGTGCAATAGTGTGGTTGGGAAGTTGGTCTTGTGGAACATTTGCGTCTCAATAGTAAGTTCGATTCCTAGTGGCGGCTCCCTGTCTTCGTAGCAAAACTAATTTTGGTAAATAACTCAAACTGAAACTGAAAAAAAAAAAAAAACAGCAAACAAAAATAAATAAATAAGAACAAAAAAAAACCCCAAGAAAACCTCATGTTTATCGCGGTTTTCTTAAAGAAGAAAATCTATGGAAATAATATGGTTTTAGAAAACATTTGATGTCGCTTATTTGGCATAACGTTATACGATTAATGTTTAAAACTTTAGAATAACAATAAACTTGTGTTGTAGTCGCAGCCGTCGACTCAAAAAGCTGGAAAAAAAGTTAAAAAATACTGCATATAATTCGAACATTCCCCCAAACGAAAGAAAATTGTTGAAGCCATCATTATAGGAAAAACTGCAGCAATTTCAAAAAGCAAATATATTAAAACTGGAAATCCGAATCAAAGTTTAAAACCATCAAAAGAAACCAGGAAAATGTGTTCTTTTTCTTTTAATCCTATCACCCAGTGAAAGGCAGTAAAGCC